ATAAAGTTGAATGTGATTGAAAAGATTTTAATCAAATAACAGCAAGCGGCCTACTGAATTCTTACATACTGAGGATGTAAAATAATTGTTCTTCAAAAGAAGGAATCAGACGCTTCGTTTAATGCAATCACTATGAAACTCTTTGAACATCTTGCACTGTCTCACTGAACTGTTTTCCTATAATTTTATCATGCAGCTAAAAAATCATCGCCTTATTATCCTAGACGCACTTCTTTCATTGAAAAAAAAAAAAAAATACAAATACAAATCAAACAAGAAGAAGACACAAAATAGAAGAAGCAAAAGTCAGCAACAACAGATAATACTTGTAAGAACAAGACCACATAAATCTTCAGAAAAAAAACAGTCTAAAACAGTCTTAGCAATTTACATAAAATCCTTCACCATGAATGACTCTAATCTAAGACGGATCGGCTGCTTTTGCAAGTACTCAGAACCTGAAACAAACATTGAAAGAATCGTAAAATTGATGGCAATTTTGGTTTTTGTTGGATTTGGCATCTTTAGTAACATTTTTGTCATCGTGCTGGCTGTAAAGTACACTGTAACAAAGAGTTTCCACTTTTTGATTATCAATATGGCGGTTGCCGACACACTTTTAACCATCATCGGTGTTCAACGTTATGTGACGGACGATTTTCTAACATATGACATATGGAATCAGATTGATGCAGTCCTTGCTCAATTACTTTGCAAGACTTTACCATTCTTTTACTTTGTTTTTGGCGCAGAATCTCTGGTAACTCTATTGGTGATCAGCATTGAAAGATACAGAATCATTAGAAAAACTGTCCAGATATCTCGACCTCTATCTTTTAAAAGACGCTTGACAGTTATTGCCTGTTGTTGGTTGATTCCTATGGTCTTGAACATTGATACATTAATTTTCAATCATATTGAAAGGTTTGATTCAGAGAAGATCTGTGCTAAAAACTATAAGGAAGATGCAAAGATACTACAACAGGTCATTTACTTTTCACTTTTCACTTTGTATATTTTGTGCTATAGTGGAATGATTGTTCTCAGTGTCTTAACAGTGCGAAGAATATCCAAACCACAAGCCATTGAAGACAGTCTTTCTGAAGTGCAAAGACAGCAGCGAAGACAGCGAATCCGCAGCGCCGTGAAAATGGTTTTATATTCGTCATTGCTCTACTCTGTCTGCTTTCTCCCATTCGTTATAGCACATGTTGTAGAATGCTATTGCAGCAATTATATTGATTGGTCAATGTTTTCTTTCTTGGCCCGGCACTTTCTTCCCCTTGTCAATTCAAGTCTCAGTCCCTTCATCTATTGTGTCTGTCTGTCCGACTTCCGTGAAGCAGCGAAGAGATTTCTTTGCTGTCGAAATCAGCTGCCTCAAATTTTCAGAAGAAACTCCGTTTTATTACCAAACTGCAGTCACACTGTCAACATACATAGATTTTCTAGAATTAAAGTTTCAATTAGGGAATGCTTCATTTGACGACTGAAGGATATTTGATCAAATAATTTTCTCTTGCAAAATTTGTACAACAGTTGGTGAATTATCTTTGATATGATTTGATTCTGCATTCCATGTTTAGTCCGACCGTCAACAGACCGCTATCGTTGCGTCAATTTACGCTGACTAGCTGCGTTTTTACAAGCCAAGATTTCTTGCTAAGAAATTTTACCTGCAAGAAGGGAAAATGTTCCCGCGTAATGCAATGACAATTAGCCAGGGGGGGGGGGAGGGATAGGGAATATTCATTGAAACACCAGCAAGATATAATTATTCTGACGTACCAGCCAGAGTACAATATAAGTGGAATTCTTTTTTCCATCAAGCTAAAAAATTCATGCAGATCGGATATTTTGAAGAACGGCTCGGTCGTGTTCTTTTGCGTCAGTGGGGATTTTATTTTATTGTTTATTTGGGCCACGTCTTCGTGCAAATATCTGGTATTAATGCTATCAACAGTTAGATTGGTAAACAAAGATCTAAAAATATCACTGCATTAAAAAATAGATGTCCAGAAAATGACATGTAGATTCTGTTGACGATTATCGAGCAATGGAAATTCTGGTCCACCTGAGTAAAATCTACAAAAGGCTTGGAATAAGGCAATGTTAATGATGTATTGACATGCTGTTTTAGAATTTTATAGGACTTAGATTCTCAACACATTTTCAAGGCAAAAATTTGATTTCTTAGTCCATTTGGCACCCGGGGGGGGGGGACTCCCTAATATCAAAGGGCGGTGGTCCTCGGCGGAGATTGTGAAAATGACTCCTAAAAGGGACCTCTATTGTGAGATGATGGGCGTGGCAGTGCTGAAATTKCAACCCTAAAAGGGACCAATCAATAACAGGTCATTGTTGTTTTGGTTTACCGATTTTATTTGTGTTTTTACACAATCATCAAACACCGTCGGCTCGTATTGAGTTTATGACGACGTTGCCATTTTATGACTGCTTAGGGTCGCAGTATACCCTAAAAGGGACCACAAAACACAGTTGGTAGGAATTCTTGTCATGATCACCCTAAGCGGGACCAAAATACTGATTTCAAACCCTAAAAGGGACGCCGAGGACCCCCGCCCTTTGATATTAGGGAGTCTCCCCCCGGGATTTGGCAGCTAAGATTCAATGCACAGGGAACTCTCTAGAAATTACATAGCTGTTAGGTCCCATCAGACATAACAGTCGATTAATATCAAGGTTAAATAGCTACAAGTTACTTAGGTTTGGAACTACTTATGCATATGTTTCAGTTAAAATGGTGGGAACTAGCGGTAATCTAGTGCGAGCTGCGTCGGTGTTTCTAAAGAGTACGTACTCCGACGAAGGATTAACGTCCGAAACGTCAGTAAGTTACTTCACCTACGTTTTTACGGTGTTTAATTTATCTTTTCACACATATGTTTCAGTTAATCTTCCAGTGATTACTAACTAGGCTTGTAATTGATAAAATCAATCTACCATTGGTCAGTTTTTATAGTTATTATTGCGATAAATTATTACTTAAGCAAATGTAATCTTGAGATTTTAATCAAAAAACAGCAAGTAAGGTTATTGAAAAGTAACAAGGTTATTATTGAGCTTGGAGGTTATTTAATCTAAAGAAGTCGCTTAGTAGAAATTTGATCATATTGACCGAGCAACCAAAGACGTTTTTCAGATACCATCTATTGTGAAGCTTCCTAAATCTGATATCGATAAAATGCTCTACATTTCAACGTTGGTCGCCTATGTCGTAATTTGATTGATTTTAGAAGAAAAAAGTTGTCGTATAAGGAATACTATTTAAGAAGACAACCACAAAGAAGACACAGAACTTAAAGCACTACGACAAATCCTTGTCAACCGGACATATTTATATAAAACAAGCAAGTATGAATGAAACCAACCTTACCCGAGTCAACAACTACTGCAAGCATACCGAAGCTGAATCAGACATCGAAAAAACTGTAACTAATGTCATGTTTGGTTCTTGGTGGATTTGGTATTTTTGGAAACGTTTTTGTCATCATGCTGGCTGTAAAGTACACTGTAAGAAAGACTCTACACTTTCTGATCATCAACATGGCCGTCGCTGATACTCTTTTTGTTATTTGCAGTGTTCAGCGATATGTTACCGACAGTTTCCTAAACTATAATATATGGAATTATATTGATGGGGTCCTTGCCCAATTACTTTGTAAGACCTTGCCGTTCTTTTATTTTGCTTTTGGTTCAGAATCTCTGATAACTCTATTAATAATCAGCATTGAAAGATATAAAATTACCAGTAGAAAAATTTCGATATCAAGGCAGCTATCTGAAAAACAACGCGCGATGGTTATCGCTGGTTCTTGGCTGACAGCTATGGTTACTAGCATCGATGAACTAATTGAAGGAAACAGTTCTGAAAAGATTTGTGTTACGAGTCACAT